ATATCCGTCCAACTAAATTCGGCTCAATTGTGTGAAAATTTCTTAATTTTTAGGGTGATGAGAATAGAAGAAGTCGGCCAGTTTACAGTTATTTGCGACAACTTCAATCATTTGCCATATTATTTTGAAGAGGCCTCGTACCACTCGAGGCATCCACTTCAGATGAGAACTTAAAACTTTATTTTTGGAGAATATTTTTCCTTTATTCAGGATAATCTCTTTGTCAATCAAAGTTGAATTCGACAATTCTGGTTTATTTGACTAACAGAGAGCGGCTACTGCTAAATGAATGGCTAAACTTTTTTGTCCAAAGTGGAATCGTGTTATTTTCTCATTTAAAATGAAGAAAAAAGCATTTTTATTTCGTTCACCTGTTCAAGCCTTCTCGTGTTTCTTATTCTGGAATATTGGTCAATTATTTAAATTATTCTCTACGAAATGAGCCGAATTCGGAACCCTTGCGCATAACTGATGAGAGGTCGGGATTTACAGACTCCATTGGACGCCGTCTGCTTGCCTAGATTACCATCTCGGTTGCGTATGCATGGAGAGAGCGACGAAGATTAGGGAAAAGTAATTGACCCCAAAACAATCACTTCTGATGTCATATCGTCCCAAAAGAAATTTTAACGACTAAGTAACATAAAGCTTCAAGACGATTAAGTTATGGCGAAGACATGATGAGACAATAAGGTATTTTCGTTTAAACTTTGGTATACGAGGTGTAACCGAAGTTTGATAACTCTACCGATATAATATTTCCGTGATGAGTAATGAAGAGATTTTTCTGTTGATCTCACCACAGGACGAGAGCTGATTCCTGCTGCTCTGCACTCATTATATTTTACTATGGAATTCAGGTTAACAGATAAAATTGACAGATTTACAGATTATTGCATACCAAGAATAGTGGTTGTGGGTAGAGTAAGAATAGTTATGCTCGATTGAGGGATTAAAGGTGAGTGAGGATGTTCAGCCATCTACAAAAAGAGGGCAGTTTAGAGGTGGTTCTAGACATATTCACATAATTTTGAAGCATTTTAAAGCTAATCAACTCAACCTAATGAACGTTCAGGATTATGCTATTCCATCTATGTCTTTCCTTTGGGCTAATTAGTTTCTCAAATATGAAAGTAGATGTTGTTTTCACAGTAAACCTTAATGAACCTGAATTGTCGTTACGCCCTGTTAAATTTATTCAGAGTTATTGCTGGGGGTTTCGAACCATGACTCACATACATGCACAAGTAAACAAGCAGGCATGCTCACTCAGACATAGAAGTGCATAGATCAACGCGTAAAGGACTTACTAAATCACACTGTGTTGGAATACCCTTCATTTTTTTAATATGGAAAGAATTCATAGGTTGGTCCCGCTGAAAGTCGAGTAGGGTTGCTTTGGAGCTATAACTGTTGATTGCAGCCGGCTACCTTTCTTGTCTTTGTGCTTAGTGACTTATCGTAAAGCACGGTGTCCTGCTCTGACGATATTCATCACAGAACGGTCAAAAGTTTGGCAAGGATGCATCGGGGTCGCGGGAGGGTAAGCAAAGGAGTTATTCGCACAAATCTGCAGTCACAGAACAAAAACAACCCCTCTTCGACTTCCGATGAGACCAT